TATATATATATATATATATATATATCAAACTGGGAAAACCTGTGTTTGGTGGCTGACTGGAGACTTCCAAGGTTGAATATCCAGCCTAAATTTGCCAGCAGCAGTTGATAGAAGCATCAAAGAAAGAACTTAGCATGGCTGAGAAGAAACAAATTCAACCTCCTTGAGGAGATTAACCACTTCAAGTCTGGACACTTTCACCCCCTTCCAGTCCAGACCAATTTTCAGCTTTGAGTGCTATCGCACTTTGAATGACAATTGCGCGGTCATGCAACACTGTACCCATATGAATTTTTTTTAGCTTTTTTTGAGACAGATAAAACTTTATTTTGGTGGTATTTATTCACCGCTGGGATTTTAATTTTTTTACTATGTAAATGAAAAAGTCCAAAAATTTTGAAAAAATTTTTTTCTTCAAAAAACTTTTGAAAAATGTTTTTCTTATAAAATTTAGCAAATAAATATTTCATCATAAATCTTGGCCAAAATGTATTCCATTATCTTTTTAGTAAAAAAAACAAAACAAAAACTCAAATTAGTTTATAACCAATAATTATAATTTTTAAACTTTTTTTTTACATTTTTAGATTGTTTTTTTTTTTTTTTTACATACTGTCACCCTAGCAGTAGTGTCACCATGGTGACACTGTACTACTTGTGGGGGGTGATGAAGATAACCCCTCAAAAAACCCAATACTTGTAAATTACTTGGTTTACGTGAAAGTCATAGCATTTAAAAAATGGCGGTATAGATACTGGAATTTTTTTTTTACTAATAATGGTGGCGATCAGCGACTTATAGCAGGACTGTGGGACTATGGGGGGCATTCTGACACTGGGGGGGAACTGACTTGGGGTCATTGACATCTCCAGTGACTCCAATATAGTGATCAGTGCTAAAAACCCCCCCCCCCCCCCAAAAAAAAAAAAGCACTGACCCTGTACTAATGGCACTGGGCAGGAAGGGGTTAACATGAGGGGGCAATCATGTGCTGGATGTGTTTGTTCTGGGGGGCAGTTTGTTCTGTGCACAGCCATCCAAAACAGTGTGCCTGAGCCGACAGGGAGGACTGTTAGTAAACAAAGCAGCCCTCCTCCCCGTCGAAGATCCTCGGTATTCACCGGCTGGGACCCGGTGATTGACAATGGTGGCCTGGGTAGGGTGCACACCCCCTACCTGAAAATGCAAAATCATTATTTTTTATATATATATATATATATATATACACACACATACACACGATTCTGTACACCCTTGCCACCCTATAGCAGTATATCTGCAAAGGGCGGCGGGGACATGATTAATGGAAGTTTTTTAAAAATAACAAACCTATTTACCTGCTCTGTGCAATTGTTTTGCACAGAGCTGCCCTGATCTTCCTCTTCTGGGGTTCCCCTCTGGCGCTCCTTCTTTTCTCCATGTGCCACCATAGAGCGCCGCTTCCTATGATTGCACACGTGCGGGCTCAATCTGCCCCACCTTCTACTTCCTCGTCACAGGATCTGATTGACCACAGCAGGAGTCCTGTGAGAAAAGAAAGCAACGCTGCTGCCCTGAGGCTGGCCATACACTGTACAATTTTCTGTCCAATTTCCTTTAGAATTACCTTCAACTGTATAGTGCAAGGGCCTGTCTAATTGGATACAATTGAAAGTGTTTTTTAGGTTTGACCTCATATATGGTGTTTGTACAATTTTCTTGAGAATTTTTCTTTACATTTACCAATGTACCTTAGGGACAGCGCTGGATCAAGATTGGGCTCATGAAGGTATTCAGGGGGAGCCAGTGATGGGAAAATGAACATTAAAGGTTTTTAAATTGTTGCAGAGAATTCATTAAGGTATTAAAACACCCCCCCCCCCAAAAAAAAAACAAACAAACCCCAAACCCCCCCCCCCCCCCCCCCAAAAAAAAAAAAAAAACAAACAAAAAACTTTAGCCTTTACAACCACTTTAAGGACAGTTGAGAATAAAAATATAAATACATATTCTGATCTTGAACAATAGTTATAACTCTTAGAACATGTTTCTTGCTCCAATAACTGCAAAACATACAGACAAAATACATATTTAGCATGTTTTACTGAATAAAAGATTTGTATTTCTCTCCATTCATGTCTGAGATTTACAAAGATCTGCCACATAGCACACTCCAGTCTGGCAAGGCACCGGATTTTTCTCTGCTACGGTCAAGTAACCTTCGAGGTCTTCTCCATTCCCTGGCCAGTGACTTGACAGTAAAAGGAGAAGCAAAAGACTTTTGAGCTCATCTCTCTGTTTTCTTCGGACAGCATGTTCCTTGTTAGTACATGAGCTCTGGAGCAGAACTGTGTGGCTCCTTGTGTTGTTTCTACATCTCCCAACCTGAACTCCACTGTACAGGGGACTGCAAAATACTTCGGTCCTTTTCTCACTGCCATGCTGGGCTGCTGCATGGGTGTTCCCTTGGTTTTCATGCAGTTAACACATGGTTTTCCATAGATGTTTCATTAGATTGCAAGTTTTTTGGTGTGCTTTCTTAAAGTGCACCATAGATGCAGCATGCAGGACTTTTGGAACTGACTGCACTAGTGTGAACTAGGGCCATTGGAATACATGGAAAACACTGTGCATGCATTTTTGATGCAGAAAAAAAAATGCACTGGACTGCATTTAATGAGAATTAGCCCTTATACCAGGTAAAATGTAGGTACTTACACTTAAATACATGTATGATGTATTAACCACTTCCATACCGGGCACTTCTACCCCCTTCCTGCCCAGGCCAATTTTCAGCTTTCAGCGGTCTAACATTTTAAATGACAATTGCGCGGTCATACAACATTGTACCCAGACTAAAATTTTATCATTTTTTCTTCACACAACTAGAGCTTTCTTTTGGTGGTATTTTATCACCACTGAGGTTTTTATTTTTTGCTAAATTAACAAAAAAATAGCAAAACTTTTGAAAAAAAAAAAAAAAAAAAAAAAAAAAACACCTTTTTTTTGTTTCCTTTATAAAAGTTTGCAAAAAAAAATAATTGTTCTTCATAAATTTAGGCCAAGATGTATTCTGATACATGTCTTTGGTGAAAATAACCCAAATTAGCATTTATTATTTAGTTTGTAGGAAAGTTATAGAGTTCACCAACTATTGTACATATCTGAATATTGATCAATCCTGAAGTACTGACAGCCAATATAATTTCTTGTAGGGCCCAAAAATGCCAGAACAGTACAGATATCCCCCAAATGACCCCTTTTTGCAAACTAGACAGTCCGACGTACTTCATAAGAGGCATGGCGAGTTTTTTTTGAAGTTGTAATTTTTTTGCCATAATTTTTTGGAAAATGAAGAAAAAAATTATTTTCACTTTTGTTTTTTTTACATACTGTCACCAGTGCAGTATAGCATCATCATATATCTGGCGTAGCAGTGATCAATTATTTCTTTGCTAGAAGCAAGTATTTAACTGAATGAAATCGATTCATTCAGGTTTTTTTTTGTGATTAGCTGTGATTGGCCATGGCTAATCACATGACACAGATGGGCTGTGATTGGCCCAGCCTGTGAATGTGATCACTGTGACCATTCACAGCTAGACACACTCTTATACAATGCATGGCATGAAAGAAAGCCATCTATTGTATACAACTGTCATGTGACCTGCTGTGATTGGTCACAGCAGGTCACATGGTACTGGCAATGGGCCGGTACACAGATCTGTCATCGGCCGTGTCCGAGGTACATGGCCGGTGACAGGTCTCAACACAGCGTGGCCCTGTGCAAAGCACGATCCGGGAAGGACGCCATGTGGCGCTTTACCGGAGGGACGACGTGTTTGCCCGGTCGTCATTTGACCATAACCATAGGCCAGGCGGCAAGTGGTTAAAATGGCGCTCCACCCAAAAGGGGATGTTCCGCTTTAAGGACTGCTCCCCCGCTCCCCATTAAGAATTGGCACCTTTGGGGGGCGGGAGCAGATACTCGAATTTGACAGGTACCCACTCCCATTTCCGTGACAGGTCCCAGAAGACTACAGGACCATTCATGAAGTGCAGCACTACTCACGCATGCACAGTCGGGTGCCCACACTGAAGATGCCAGCCTTCTGGAATCAGGACGGCCGGTGAAACAGGCTGCGGGGGACACACCATGGGACCGAGGGACAGGTAAGTGGCTGTTTTTGAAAAGTCAGCTACAGTTTTTTGTAGCTGCTGACTTATTGTTTGACAGGTAAGTGGAACTCCACTTCAATGAACATAGGGCTGCAATAATGTCTTTAATATCTGCCTGGAGTTAACCTTAAAATAGACAGAAGTAAGCAAGACAATAGTAAAGGAGAAAAAACAGAACAGGAAAGAGAAGTAATACCAGAAAAAGAAAGACAAAAGGGGAAAATGTACATGAAATAGGTATATTTTCTTAACACTTGAAGAAAAGTGAATCCAGCAATTATAATCAAGTTTAGTAAAATTATTTATAGAATTTTAAAAATCATGAGCAGGATTCCAAATGAACAGAGCCATGCTTTGATCCGAGACAGTTTATGAAGATTTTATATGTGCACAATTCGGAAAAATGACAATGTATCTCTTGACCAGTGTCTGAGGCACAGCTGGTGCTTTGGTTTGCACAAAATGATGAAAACAGTATTGATGTATTGAAAAAAAAAAAAAAAAATATGTTGGCAGTGCTCCTGTGCAATGTACAACTGTTGGTAAATAGCACCATGGCCAAACATGCAGATTTTTCTCCATCACTGCTTCATATCTGCAACTTTGAAAAAGCATTTATTCCAAGGACATACAAACCCCAATCTGTACTGTATTACACCAGCTGGGGTTTGCATGGAGATTGGGATTTTATAAACATTACAGGCACACACAATTCTGTCCAAAGGAGGAGTCCAAAGTCTGGAGACAGCTGCAATTTAGTCATTTTCAAGTGCTTAATGGTTTCCCATCGACTTCTATTCAGTTCGCAGTTGCTGGCTGAGAGATCTAATTAAAACCTTGCTCAAGAACCTAATCTTTCCAGTTTAGCTTGTAATGATTTGAAGTTCCCAATTCGTGTCTGTACTACAGGAGTCGGGTCCATGGACTGGAGCTCAACTAGATAGCAAGCAATGGCATCCAGGCAAATGGTGTTAAACCTCCGCCTAAAGAAGAGACAAAAAACAAAGCTTTATGGAGCAAACCAATGCAGTGATAAAAATAGTGGTTAAGGAAGATACACACACACGGCAGATGCTCCGCACTGACGCTCTCTTGACCCGAGTTGGCAAGCATTCCACAACTCGACTCAGTCACTTGAAGTGACGCGACACGCAGAAGGACTGGAAGTGACGCGACACGCAGAAGGACTGGAAGTGACGCGACGCGCAGAAGGACTGGAAGTGACGCGACGCGCAGAAGGACTGGAAGTGACGCGACGCGCAGAAGGACTGGAAGTGACGCGACACGCAGAAGGACTGGAAGTGACGCGACACGCAGAAGGACTGGAAGTGACGCGACACGCAGAAGGACTGGAAGTGACGCGACACGCAGAAGGACTGGAAGTGACGCGACACGCAGAAGGACTGGAAGTGACGACAAACGGCTCAGCCGCAATGCGTTTCGTAAATCACGTCATCAGAAGTCAAGAGAGCGGTGGTGCGGAGCATCTGCTTCTGCCCTTTGGGCACAGCAATATGCGAGTTAAATATTTACTTTATATTATCAAATGGATTTCAATAAAAACTTGCTACACTATGGAAAACCTCTTTCTTTTGAGTGTTTGCATTATGACATCCCAACTGAGAAAGCCTACTGTGTGGAAGCCTGTGAAGATTTGGGTTAAGTCGGCTATTCTGATATAGCAGACTACATTTCGCCTTTAACATCTTATATCTGGTGACTTGTTACTCTCACTGCATGTGGTGGGGAATTGCACAAGTGGATTATCTGCTTAATTGTTTTTTGGACACCGGGTGTGGAAGGTTAAATCTCCATGTAGTTATTATATGGACTCTTTTTGGACACTTAATAACTGATTATTTTAGAAGGACACTGTACAATTTGATTATTCACAGTGGTATTATTTTAGGTGTTGAATTATATGCAGATATTAATCACTTTAGGATTAATATGAGTAGCGCATTTTTCTTTTATTTTTGACCATAGTGTTTTTTTCCACTTTTAAAGGCAGCTTCTCCTTGTTTATGGGACTGATTTGGAGGTGGCACCCCCACTTTTTTGTTTGACAGGTTTAGGAGGGTGTCTATGGGAATGTTTGACCATTCTTCCAGAAGAGCATTTGTGAGGTCAGGCACTGATGTCAGACGAGAAGGCCTGGCTTGCAGTCTCCTCTCTAATTCATCCTAAAGGTCTTCTATCAGGTTGAGATGCAGGCCAGTCAAGTTCCTCCACCCCAAACTCACTCATCCATGTCTTTAAGGACCTTGCTTTGTGCAATGGTGCGCAGTCATGTTGGAACAGGAGGGACCATCTCCAATCTGTTCCCACAAAGTTGGGATCATGAAATTGTCCAAAATGTCTTATTATGCTGACACCTTAAGAGTTCCCTTCACTGGAACTAGGGGGCTAAGCCCAACCCCTGAAAAACAACCCCACACCATAATCTCCCCTCCACCAAACTTTACACTGGGCACAATGCAGTCAGGCAAGTACTGTTCTCGTGGCAAACACCAAACCCATACAAAGTCCATCGGATTGCCAGACATAGAAGCGTTGTCACGCCAGAGACCACGTTTCCACTACTCTAGAGTCCAGTGGCGGCGTGCTTTACACCACTGCATATGATGCTTTGCATTGCACTTGGTGATGTAAGACTTGGATGCAGCTGCTCGGCCATAGAACCCATTCCATGAAGCTCTCTACACACTATTGTTGTGCTAATCTGAAGGCCACACGAAGTTTGGAGGTCTTTAGCTATTGATTCTGCAGACAGTTTGAAACTTCTGTGCACTTCAGCATGTACTGTGTTGCTCTTGTTCCCAGTTGCTTTCACTTTGTTATAATACCACTAACAGTTGGCCGTGGAATATTTAGTAGGAAGGACACTTCACAGATGCTCAGGTGGCAACCTATCACGGTACCACGCTTGAATTCACTGAGCTCCCGACAGCAACCCATTCTTTCAAAAATGTTTGTAGAAGCAGTCTGCATGCCTAGGTGCTTGATTGTATACACCTGTTGCCATGGAGGTGATTGGAACACCTGGATTCAATGATTTGGAGGGCTGGCCCAATACTTTCAGCAATATAGTGTGTGTATAAGAGATATATATTTTAATACTGTAATTGTATCTGACAGTTGCAGTAATAAACAAAAGAACACTGATGTCTTTAAGCTACATCTGCAAGCTAAATGCTTGTTTTGTCATTAAGGTATATGTGAAGTGTGAGATAAGATAGATATCTCTAACACACACACACACCTTAATGACAAAACAAGCATTTAGCTTGCAGATGTAGCTTGAAGACATCAGTGTTCTTTTGTTTATTACTGCAACTGTCAGATACAATTACAGTATTAAAAAAAAACAAAAAGCAGGGTATAAACAAATAATGGTCTACGGCCTTTAAAAATAAATATAAATATTATTTAGGCATGCAAACAAGTCAGAGTTATTGTCAAGCTAACTGAAGCACGCAGACACTGCTATGTTTTGAATGGCCATCTAGGCATCAATGACTGTTATGAAAGAGTAAAGTAATCTGATATAAAGCAAAATAAACACATAGCATAACAGCATTTTTTGGAAAGAATCTTGCATATCACAAATTACCGTATTTGCCGGCGTATAAGACGACTTTTTGACCCTTGAAAATCTTCTCAAAAGTCGGGGGTCGTCTTATACGCCGGTACACATGTTAGGGGGGCTGCGGCATTAAGTACAGTGGTTTGCAGGGGCTGATGTCTCTTACCTGGATCCAGTCCCACGACGATCCGGTCCAGGAAGCGCGGCGTCTCCTTCAGTTCGGCCACTGGATGTTCGTGCGGCTGCTCGGCTCCGCCTCCTCACCGGTGATTGGCCGCCAGAACTGTAGCTCAGGAAAGGCACACAGGCGGCCAATCACCGGCGAGGGGGCGGAGCCGAGCGGCCCCCGCGAAAATTGAGTGCCGGAGCAGCAGGTAAGTGTTCTGTGTAGAGGTGCTGCTGCAACCACATATGCTGGCTGCAGCAGCACCATACGAGAACAGGGTCAGCAAGTCTCAGTGGGAGGAATAGTGCCCCATCATTGGTGTCACTGATACCAATGATGGGGCACTATTCCTCCCACTGATACCAACGATGGGGCACTATTCCTCCCACTGACACCAACGATGGGGCACTATTCCTCCCCCCCACTGACACCAACGATGGGGCACTATTCCTCCCCCCCACTGACACCAACGATGGGGCACTATTCCCCCCCCCACTGACACCAATGATGGGGCACTATTCCACCCCTCACTGACACCAATGATGGGGCACTATTCCTCCCAGTGACACCAATGATGGGACACCATTCCTCCCACTGACACCAATGATGGGGCACTATTCCTCCCACTGACACCAATGATGGGGCACTATTCCTGCCACTGATACCAATGATGGGGCACTATTCCTGCCACTGATACCAATGATGGGGCACTATTCCTCCCACTGACACCAATGATGGAGCACTATTCCTCCACTGATACTAATGATAGGGCACTATTCCTGCCACTAATGCCAATGATGGGGCACTATTCCTGCCACTAATACCAATGATGGGGCACTATTCCTCCCACTGACATCAATGATGGGGCACTATTCCTCCCACTGATACCAATGATGGGGCACTATTCCTCCCACTGACATCAATGATGGGGCACTATTCCTCCCACTGGTGTGCATTGGAAGAGGGGTAGTCTTATACGGCGAGTATAGCCCAAACACTACATTTTAGCAGGAAAAGTAGGGGGGTCGTCTTATACGCCCAGTCGTCTTATACGCCGGCAAATACGGTACATCAGTGTTTTGCCTATTCACCCGCTCTTTTGCAGTATTACATGTATTCCAGATTGGTAAGATCTTCTTAAAAGCCATTTACCAAATAGTGCCATTGCCATAACTACACCATAGTCAACATCCACCCCCAATAAATTTCCCAACAAGGTACTGTCCTCACCTTTCATAGCTTGGCACTTTGCTGGGGTCTTGTACGTATCCAGACAGCAGGATATGAATACAGTCTAAGAGGTGTAAGGGCTTCTTCGTTCTATTCCAGAATGGGTCCTAAACAGAATATAGACGTATTACAATCCCACACATACAGAGATCTCATTAGCACAGCAAGCAAGGCAATGTTCTGCTCCTGACCTTTATCAATCTTACAAAATTCACTCCTTCCACCTTCTTCTTATTATACAGGCTTTATATAACACCAACAGTTTGCTCAGAGTTTTACAATAGAACGGGAGACAATACAGCAACAATACAGTTCAATACAAGAGGGATAGGAAGGCCTGATCCTGGGAGCTTACAATCTAATGAAGGAGGTCCTTTATAGTGCTGTATCTAAACCAGCAAGCAATAACGCATAATGCTAAAACCTACCAAAACTGAAGACATGGCTTGGATAAGCTGGGAAAGTAGTCATATTGAACTAGACTTGTTTTGCAATATTACAAAACTACTACTGCTGGCTCTTTGTGCCAAAACACATCTATCTGATGTGAAAAAAAACATGAAGTGGAACGTTGGTGGATCTAACCAAAAATGCACATGTAAACTACATCTGACCAAACAAACAAAATAAGTCACACAGTACCAGAGAGTAAACCTGCACATGCTAATAATATTAACATGAATAATATTTTTTAAATATTAATACTTTTTTTTTTCTTGGTCGATAGCATTTAACCTCCCCCCAACATTTTGCTTTCTTTTACATCACAGTTTTACCTCAAACTTGAGGTCTGGTCAGGGACATCAAAATAATACCCACATCTCCTTTTATCTAATCAACCGTCAATTAAAACACACAACACAAAAACAATGCTCCCCTTATATCTGCAGTCATGTGACGCACTAGGTCTGCAGTTTTCTTCACCCTTCCGGACTGCAGGAGTGGAAAGGTCTTTAAGTGTCCACACTGCTGCCATGTAATATGAACATTTTCATTACACTAGGCAGGTGACCAGGCAACTTTGACCTGTGTTAGTAAAACCGTACATAGCACAACTACTTTGTACATCCAGGTGGATTATATCTGGTTTTCTTCAGGACAAAATTGGGCTTTCATTTGGTAAATGCTAATGGCTATCTCCTGATTTTTTTTTTATTATCAAAGGAAAACTGGCCCAAAATAGTAAAAAAAAAAAATTTTTTATTTTTTTTAAAATTTAGCTGTGGATATCTACTGATTTTTTTTTTTATTATCAAAGGAAAATTGGCCCAAAATAATAAATTTGGTTTTTTTTTTAAATTTAGCTGTGTGTTTCTTGTTACTACCATAACCTACTACCAAACAACCCAATTAAAATGTTCCAGCTCTTGACGATTGCAGAGATACCATATATGTGTATCTTATTGGTGCCTGTACTACAGCCCAGAAACAATAGTGTGCATTTTGTTTTTTTTTCAAATCTAAAAAAAAAAAAAAAAAAAAAAAAAAAAAAAAAAGACACCAAATAATAAAAAAAAAAAAAAAAATCCTGACCGCCTGATCAAAGGTCAGGATTATTATTATGACTGATCACTGTGATAGCCAATTAGAGGCTATCACAGCGATCACGTGACCCAGAATCAGAAGTCCTGGGTCCTGATTGTTATAACGGGACCTGGGGATCTCAGTGACACCCCAGTCTTTGTGCTGGGAGCACACTGTGCGGCACGCTCCCAGCACAAAGACAGGTGCGCAAATTTGCGGCCCCACGGAAAAAAGCCAAGTTCTGTGAGTCCGCATATTTGTGTGACGTCGGCGTCAATGGGTTAAAGACGAATGGCAGCATTGTAAACTCACTGAGGTGTGGCCACAAGACCAGTTAAGCAGCAGGTCGGGAGTGAAGTATTGAATCACCAGTCTTCAGGTAAAGATACTTGTGAGAGTCATGTTGACAACAGTTAATTCAAGAAAATAAAAGGTGCTTAAGTTTCCAATGTTCCCCAGAGATGGGCTTAAGAATGCACCTTCCATATCCCTTCCCATAACAAAACACTTACCCTTGCTTTAAACAGGTGGTCATAAACTTCAAGTAACCTGGGGATGGTCACATCGATTTCTTGCATTGTTTTAGTTACATAGCCCACATCCCAGTGCAATGTGCACACTTGTTGTTCCAGGTATTGGACCAAAAACTCTTCAAAAGAAAACAGAAAAATAAATAGGTTTAAAATTGGCATAAAAAACAAAGCACACAAAATTAGAATACTATATCTAAAGGCTTCAAGGTAAAACAACAAACAGCTACTGTAAATACACATACTGTATATTAGAGAGGTTTTACCTTCCAAAGGATTTAGATTTCTGTTCCTACAGACCTGAAATTTACATAGCCCTGCCAGATTTTACAGCCAAGCTGGTGGCTTGATTTTTCAAAACGGAGTTTTATAGAACATTTGCTCAGCTCATTACATGAAAGTAAGGTTAACCACTTGCCTACCGGGCACTTATACCCCCTTCCTGCACAGTCCAATTTTAAGCTTTCAGCGCTGTCGCACGTCGAAGGACAATTGCGCAGTCATGCAACATTGTACCCATATGAAATTTTTATAATTTTTTTTCACACAAATAGAGCTTTCTTTTGGTGGTATTTACTAGTTGCTGGTTGTTTTATTTTTTTGCGCTATAAAAACAAACAAAAAAAAAAACAAAAAAAAAAAAAAAACAAAAAAAAAAGAACAAAAACGTGAAAAAAAAAAAAAAAATTTTTTTTTCTTTGTTTCCATTATAAAATTTTGCAAACAGGTAATTTTTCTCCTTCATTGATATGTGTTGATGAGGCTGCACTGATAGGCAGCAATGATGTGCAACAATGATGGGCACTGATAGGGGGCACTACTAGGCTGTGATGGTCACAGGTGTGTGGCACTGCTGGGCACTTGTGGGCAGCCCTGCTAGGCACGGATCATCAGGGCACTGATGATCGGTGCCGATCTGTCCTCTGACAATTGACGGTTATCGGCAGTACTTTCCTCCCCGCTGTGACAGTGTGAGGAAATTGCAGTTGATAACTGGCAACTGTATTTACCCGCTGATCTGCTGTGTCATTGGACACAGCTGATCACGTGGTAAAAGGCCGCTGTGATTGGCCTTTTACCACATCACGTGATCAGCTGTGTCTGTAGGAAACCACGATCATGGGGATCACGGAGGGCACATTCTGGGAGGACATCATACGACACCCTCCTAGAACTGGAAAACCGCGCTGTAGTCATCATTTGGCTATAGCATAGTTGGCAAGTGGTTAATAATATAAGTTGGATTTCAAAATCTTCAGTTTTACTCAAATTAGTTGATGCAAAAATAAATACACCCCACAACAAAAACTACTACATCTAGTATTTTCTATGACCGCCATGATTTGTAAGGACAGCACCAAGTCTTCTAGGCATGGAATGAACAAGTTGGCAACAAATTGCAACATCGATCTATTTCCATTGTTTAAGAACGACCTCTTTTAGAGCCTGGATGTTGGATGGTGAGTGGTGCTCAACGTGTCTCTTCAGAATTCCTCATAGGTGTTGACTGTGTTCAGATCAGGAGACATACTTGGCCACTGAATCACTTTCACCCTGTTCTTCAGAAATGCAACAGTGGTCTTAGATGTGCACTTTTCCAACATGACAATGATCCAAAACACACAACGACCAAGGGCACGGAGTGATTGTAGCATCTTCTCTTTCAATTTAGAGAGCAGTACATCTGTGAGTTCATGATACCATCAATGAAATGCAGCTCCCCGACAACAGCAGCACTCATGCAGCCCCACAGAAGGACACTGCCACCACCATGTTTCACTGTAGGCACCATGCATTTTCTTTTGTATGGCGTCACAAAGGTGAGGAGTACAGTTTTGAAGCCATCAGTTCCAAATACATTTATCTTGGTCCCATCACTCCAGAGTACATTGTCCCAGTAGTCTTCTTTTTCAGCATGGGCACTAGCAAATTCTTGGCAGGCTTTTTTGTGCATGGGCTTTAGCAGAGGCTTCCTTCGTGGACGACACCCATGCAACCCATTTCTCTGCAGTGTACACCATATTGTTTCACAGGAAACAATCACCCCAGTTTGGCTTTCAACTTCTTTAGCTAACTCCAGTGAACTTGCATGACGATTTTCTTCAACCCTTCTCATCAGAAGATGCTCCTGTCAAAGTGTTAACTTACATGGATGGCCTGGACGTCTCTGTGAGATGGTTTCAGTTCCATCATTGTAAGAATACTGTAGCAAAAGTGATCCAAAAATGTGACTGATAAGTAAAGCTTTGCTGATCTTCTTGTAGCCTTCACCTTTCTTGTGTAAAGAAATTATTTTCTCTTTCTCAGGCCTTGTGACATTTTTGTTCCACGTGGTGCCATTGCTGACAGCATGAAAAGGGAAGGGGTAATGCCCTTTTATAATCAACTGTCTGCTGGACACCGGTTTAATGAATAAATTAAACTCATCTGTATGTAGGATTTTGTTTTCTAAAATTTAGCTTTGCTCCTAAGACTTTCATTGGGGTGTATTCATTTTTGCAACATGGTCTTGAATGAATCTGCTAGGAATAATACTTTTTTGCGTGTGCAAATTAACAACTCTTGTTTGCAATCAATGGCCCACATTTTTGGGAGTATTTTGAAGTATAGTGTTCCAAAGAAAATGTTGATTCTGAAAGGAAAGTCAAATTTCTCCGACAAATCTGTTGGGGCACACACACACACATAGATAGATACAGTCATGGCCGAAATTGTTGGCACCTTGATTTTCTTCAAATGCTAATCATGTATTTCTCACAAAGTATTGCATTAACACATGTTTTGCTATACACAGTTTATTCCCTTTGTGTGATACTGGACAAACAAAAAAAGGGAGGAAAGAAAGCAAATTCTGACATATGTCACACAAACCTCCAAAATGCTGGACAAAGCAGTATGGCAGCCTTTCATAAACTGCGGATAAATAAGAATGTTACAAGAACATGTGATGCTCCTGTAAACATTCACCTGGGGAAGTAAAAGCTTTGGGGCAATATAGAAGCATCACGTAACCTGTAAAGCAGAAACAAAAAGGGAGATACGTTCACTTAACTTTGCAGCTTGTTTAAAAGTACCCTATGTCTGATGCTGACACAGATGAGGCATGGAAAACAGAAGTAGAACAGAGAAAATGTGAGAAATGATTAAGGCCGTTATGCTCAACAAAAATTGTGGCTGTTGCATTTCAATACAGCTGTGTGCAAGATTTACAAGTCCTGATGACCTTTCCTGCTGAAAAGTACCTTCTTCTGTGCTGTGTCGAGTGCCCTGTCCAACACAGTGCGCAACATTATCAAGAATGTTGCAACACCCTGTGGCACTGTAGCTAGGATCTCCCATGGTCGTGGACGGATGAGGAAAATTGATCAGCTGTTTGAAAGAGGTGCAACGCAGAATAGTCGGATGGTGGAACTGGAGCAGCCCTTAGTAAACAAACATGTTCCAAAGCAACCCCACAAACCGACATTCAAGCTGTCCTGCAGGCTCAGGGAGCATCAGTGTCAGGCATCCGATATATCCGTCGAAATTTAAATGAAGCAAATGAAACAACTGGGTGGCAGGAGACCCAGGAGGAACCACTGCTGACACAGTAGACACTCATAACTAACACTTCATAGACTACAGTGGCCAAAATGTACAATTGAGTAAGCCATCAAAAGCCTTCTGGGAAAACGTTTGTGGACAGATGAGACCAAAAAGATTAAGCTTTTCGGTAAGCACATCATTACTACTCTTTTTACCGAAAACGGAATGAGGCCTACTGCAAAGAATTTAGGGAAAACACAGTGTTCACTACGGTAAAATATGGTGGAGGTTCAATGATTTGTTTTTGGGGTTGTTTTGCTGCCTCTGGCACTGGGTGCCTTGACTGTGTGCAAGGCATCATGAAATCTGAGGATTACCAAAGGATTTTGGGTCGCACTGTAGGGCCCAGTGTCAGAAAAGCTGGGTTTGCGTCCAAGATCCTGGGTCTTCCAGCAGGACAATGACCCCAAACATACGTCAAAAAGCACTCAGAAATGGATGGCAAAGAAGCGCTGGAGAGTTCTGAAGTGGCCAGCAATGAGCCCAGATCTAAATCCCATTGAACACCTGTGGAGAGATCTTAAAATTGCTGTTGGGAAAAAAGGTGTCCTTCCAATAAGAGAGACCTGGAGCTGTTTGCAAAGGAAGAGTGGTCCAAAATTCCGGGTGAGAGGTGTCAGAAGCTTATTGATGGTTATAGGAAGCGACTGATTTCAGTTATGTTTTCCAAAGGGTGTGCAACCAAATATTAAGTTAAGGGTGCCAATACTTTTGTCCAGCCCATTTTTGGGGTTTTGTGTGACATTATGTCATATTTGCTTTTCTGCCTCTGTTTTATATTTGTTCCAATACATACAAAGGGAATAAACATGTGTATAGCAAAACATGTGTTAATGCAATACCTTTTTTGTGTGAAATACTTGATTTTCAGGAAAAATATCAAGGGTGCCAACAATTTCGGCCATGATGTATATATATAAATGACGCATTTATCTTCAAATGCTAAAATAAACACAAAGTAGTAAACCTTGGGGCTATACTGCAGCCTACAGAAGAACTGGATACTGGCAAACAAAAAACTAACCAGGCCAAGGTAACCTCTGAATACTACCAGCATAGCTCCATGCTGTAGCAAAGCAGTAATGACAGCATGGTCATAAACACAGAAGGGTGGGACCTGTGTCTCCAAAGAACAGTGTGTACAAGTCTTATTTTATTTACCATTCATTTACGGACATGGGAAGTCTTAAAAGCTTTGGGACATGCAAAAGCATCCAACGTAAGGGTTTGTAACACAAACAAACAAAAAGGGCTCAAGAAAATACAAACGCAAAACTGGGGACAACTTGCAGCTCACACAGATGTTTAAAAGTACCCTATGCCTGATGCTGACATCAGATGAGGCAGAAACGTTCACCAAGTAGAACAGAGAAAATGTGTGAAATGATTAAGGCCGTTATGGCTCAAATGCATTAGAATTTCTGTTGCATTTTTATACAGCTGTGTGCATGATTTACTAATAAACTTTCCTGATGACCTTTCCTGCTGAAAAGTACCTTCTTCTGTGCTGTGTCGAGTAAGAAGCCTAAGCACT